TTCAATGCCTTGCAAAAGATATCTCAAGATAATACTCCAACCATGTTGCAAAAGCTTACCATGCAATTTAAGGTCTGTTCTCCAGGTATTAGAACTTCTAATGATGTCAATCAATTGATTGGATGGTTGAATCAAGCATATCAAACTTTACCAATGGTTGATTATCCTTATCCAAACAGCTTCTTACAACCTTTACCAGGTTTCCCAATCAATGAAATTTGTAATCGTATTGCTACGTTGATGAGCAAGGAATCTGTCATTACAACTGATAGCTACCTTAAAGCTATTCTTGAAGGTGCCTCAGTTTACTACAATTACAGTGGAAGTGCTGGCTTTTGTAATAATTTAACTCAACCAGATAGTCCATCACTTGGAGACAATGCATGGGAATATCAAACATGTACTGAAATGGTTATGCCAATTGGTCAATACCCTGCAACTGATATGTTCATCTCTTCACCATGGAATCTTGATGCATTTATTGCATACTGCCAACAAAAGTGGCAGACAACTCCAAGAACCAATTGGATACTTACAAATTATGGTGGTAAACGAGCAGTCCTAGATGCAACTAATATTGTATTTTCCAACGGAGATTTAGATCCTTGGCATGGAGGTATGTTATTGAATATTTATTGTGGATGACAATCACACAAAAATTGGCAATATTGATGGTATTGAAATGGTTTTTATCATTGATTTCTTACCTATTTGCTTTTTAAAATATGGTTGAAACATCACAACAGGAGGTGTACTAGCACCAACTAAAACAAATAGCAAAGTTAAATTAGTGTACATTGAAAAAGGAGCTCACCACTTGGATTTAAGAAGCTCCAATCCTTTGGATCCTCAAAGTGTTAAAATTGCCAGAGCCTTAGAAGTCAAGGAAATTGCCACATGGCTCAACGAGTTTGCACTCAAGAAAGGTTACGACATTAAGTATTAATTGACATGGTTGTATTAAACTGTCTCACACAATTTTTAATATTTTAAAATACCTGAATTTACAGTACTTACTCTACTCTACCCAAAGTGTTGCTTTCACAAGTAAGTTTCAACAAGAGAAGATTGAGTACAGATTGATTCATGTGTGAGAAATGTCAAGGATTCGTTGTATCGTCCTGCTTGTATCACATTCAATATTCCAATGAACAACATCAATTTTAGTAGAGTTCAAAACAATACCTGCTGTCACCTGCCATCATCCTTTTTCACACAATTAATCGTCAATTTTCGACTTGTAAATTCAATCATGTCACATTTAACTACCCGAATACAACCTTCATCATGAACCCGCCGTGTCTCTTCCTGCTTTACTGCACCCTCATACAACAAGTATTTACACTCATCTCCCATCATCACTCCAATCACTTCTATAAATTCTCGCCACTTGTACTACAACTTTCAAAACATCAACAGAAAAAAACAAAACAACAACAACTTTTTCTCAACAATGAAGTTGTCCAAATCTGTATTGCTTTATACACTTCTCGCATTGTTACTCAGTGCTGCAATTGTATTCGCTGCTGCTGACACTGAAGCAGTGAAAGGAGGAAAACCTACTGTCAACAGCAAGAAATCTCCAAAACCAACCGGAGTGAAAATCACCGTTCCAAAACCATTGAAGAAATGGAGAGTGTTCAAGAGTAGTTCTCTCACCAAGAATTTCAACAAGACTTCAAGAAAGATCAAGAAGGCAGTCAAGAAGGCATCTAAAAAGGCAAAGAAGGCCATCAAGAAGGCTCAACGAAAAGCAACCAAGAAGGCCAAAAAGATCTTGAAAAAGCTCACTTCTAAATACTTGAAATGGAAGAGACTCTCCAAGAGATTCATGACCAAGTATAAGAAGGCATATAAGAAGGCTCGTCGTTTCACTCGCAAGGTTGGAGGAATCATTGCCAAGAAGTACAGAAGAACAGCAAGAGCATTGAAGAGAAAGGCCAAGAAGTGTCAACGAAAGGCAAGAAAATTGAAGAAACAAGTCAAGAAGGCAAAGAAGGCAGTGAAGAAGGCTGCCAAGAAGGCCATCAAGAAGATTCAAAAGAAGGCTGCTCGTCGATTGGGTCTCAAGAAGAAGCAAGTGAAGAAACTCAACAAGGTTGTGAAAAAGTTGTTGGTATTGAAGAAGAAATTAGGCAAGCAATGGTCTTTGAAATCCATTCCAGACAAGATCAAACTTTTAGCTGGCAAGTTGAAGATTGTGCGAGGAAAGTGCTCTATCAAGAGAAAGATTCAAAAGAAGAAGCAACAAAAGAAGGCCAGAAAGACTGCCAAGAAGGTCAAGAAGGTTGGAAAGAAGTGCACCAAACAAGCTAAAAAGCAAGAAAAGAAGGCTAACAAGTCTGTCCGAAAAGCCAAGAACATTATCAAGAAGGCCAAGAAGTTGATCAAGAAGGGCAATAAGAAGATTGTCAAGAAGGTCATCAAGAAGGCAATTAAGACGGCCAAGAAGGCAATCAAGAGAGCCAAGAAAGCTGTGAAGAGTGCAAAGAAGGCAGTGAAGAAGGTCAAGCAAATTAAGAGAAAGGTTGAAAAGAAACTCGATCGAGAGGTCAAGAAGGTCAGAAAGGCCATTCGTCGCAACAAGAGAGTTCTCATCAAAAAGTGCCAAAAGAAGATTAAGAAATTCAGAAAGTTGTTGAAGAAGTTGAACAAGAAGGTCAAGAAGGCTGTGAAGAGACTCAAGAAGATTACCAAGAAGGCAAAGAAGACCATTAAGAAGGCAAAGAAGGTTAAGAAGCAAGCCAAGAAGGTCCTCAGAAAGGTTTCCAAGAAGAATAAGGGAAGCGTTATTGTTAGACTTATCAGAAGATTGAACAAGCTTCAAAAATGCAAGAAGAATTAATTTTGTGTGTTACAAAATTGAAATCGACGTCAGCATGTGTGAGAAATCATGATCTACTGTAACCCTTAAACTTGTATAAAATTTATCTTAATGTACTTTGCAATTCACTTTATGAATCGAATTGGAAAATAAGTGCCAATCACAAAAATAAACAATGTCATGACAACACCAAAAGAACAACATGGTTGGAGAATTCAAAATGATCTAGGAAGAGTGCAGAGTCGTTTGTTAAGATTTGTGTGTTTAATCATTGCATTTGCAATACTGTGATTGGTAACATCGAACGAATTTCATTCCATAACAAACCAAAATCTTTCGAATTGATTTCTTGGACTTGCGTCTGTTTGGGACCTTATTGAATGAACATAATCACCAACTGCCTTGTCTAAATCTCTCAAAATAAAAGAAATCTTACTGTTCTCGCTAACATTCTGTTCTAGCTTAACCTTTTCCAATTCTTTCAATATTTGGTTTTGTTGTTTAAATAGACGCCAATAATTCCATCCAACAAGCATCAGTATCAATATCACGATCAAATAGTATTCTGGAACTGTGAACAGTAAGGTAGCAGGAACGGCGAATAAAAATTTAGCAATTGTCACGAGTGTTTGTCCCGCTATTTCTCTTTCTTTCACAACAGCTGTTCGTTGTTCATTAATTTCTGTTGCTCTTTGCTTCATTTCTTTTTTCAGGTTATTCAAACCCTCCTCCAGTCGCTCGGCTCTGAGTGTTTTGTAGAAACTTTCAACAATTTGTAAATCTGGTCCAGGTGACAACACTCTTTCTGTAACATCTTGCTCAATGGTTTCAGCGGAAGGACGTTTTAACACATCATTACTGGTCATTAGGCTTAAATACTCTCTCATGGGTCTGCTAAGGTGTGAATTAACTGTCAAATTCGAAATCATTTGTCCTAAACTATAAATGTCATTCACATACGGTTTGTCAACCTCAGGTGCCATGGTTTCTACGGTTCCTTCTCTCACCGAATCAACCTCCCTACATAAAGAGAAATCTGCAAGCACAACTTTAATTTGCTGAGAACGGGCATCAAACTCTTCAATTAAAACGTTATTTCCAGAAATATCATGATGAAGAAGAGAATGTTGGTGGACAATGCAAATAGCGTTTCCCATTTGGCAAAGTACTTGAACAGCAATAATTTGAGGCATATTCCTATCTGTCCCATACCTGTCGTTCAAAGTGCCCAAGTAGAGTTTCATCTTTAGACCAAGTACTTCATCATTTCCAATTCTTGTTTCAAACACGTCATAAATCGTAATAATGTTATCATGGTTAAGCTGCAATGGAATCTTTTCCTTCACATAATTATTTCCCGAGTTTTTTTGAATCATCTTCACAGCAAACTCCAAAGGTTCCTCTCCTGGTTGTTCAATTCGTACTTTAAACACCTTACCAAAGGCACCTTTATCCATGTATTCCAATCGTACAATGTTATCAGGAGTCTTGTACTTGGTCGTGAGATATTCCAGATAACTCTCAATGATATCTTGTTCGTTTCTTTGAGAGTTACCACCTCGGTAAAACTGAGAAGGAATTGAGGGTAAAGATCCGTTCGAATCGTTTCGTCTTGGATTTCCAACGTGATTATTGCTGGCTTGATTAGCGGAAATATGTTGTCTGACGGTATTGGCAACAACGGCAACCTTTGGAGGCTGCCCATTGTCCATCGTGTTTCGGTACGAATTTTGTGGGCTACGACTTGGAGAAGTGTTCATTTCTTCCTGACCTTGATAACCGTGTACGATCAATGGATCATGTGGATTGTTTGTATGATCAATATTGCTCATACGAGTGATGGTAGACGGTTCTCGATGACGATTATAGATCATCGTTTGTGGGTTGCTGTGTATGTAATTCGAAGAATTGGAGGATCCTATGGTGGGTGGAAAGCCTTGATCACTCAAATTATTCGAAGAGACCCGACGAGAGTTATTGTAAGTAGAATGAGAAGCCGTATGGTTCAGTCCTGGCTGGTTATTGAAAGCATGAGAAGTGTTGTACGTAGAATGGCTTGAGTAATCACGTTCTTGAGGCTGTCCAGATGAATACATGTTTTGCCATCGATTTTCCATTTTTTTTACTTGACGAGTTCTCGAACGATGTTCGAATTTGACACTTGATCAAGAAAAAAATGTCAAGACAACACTCATCATCCTCTGGCAAAAACAAAACATCACCCAATAGCCTGTCTCATGGTCGTCTTGACTTATCGTGCGATGGGTCCACTGAAAGAGAACCAGAACATAACCGATCTGCTTCTTCTTCGAACAGGTTCCATCGTGTTCCTTCTAATCAACATTCAAAAAAGAGAACCAGTGAAGACAATGACGAAACAGAACCTGAAGATTGGGACCAAAGTAAAAAAAAGAAGAGCGATACCGATTCTAACCAAATAGTTTCACTGGAACTTTATAACAGTCATCTTGAAGTGTTTGCAGCAAAGATTAAAAGAACCATAGCCAGAGTAGCATTCTTGAGTAAAGGAGGACAAGGCAGTGTGTTCAAAGTTACTTGGGTTGGTAATGAAGAAACGGCCGTGAAAGTTGTGTCCATTGCAACCAAAAGCAAAGAATCTCAACTGGCAGGTCTACCAAAACCTTTAAACATGCCCATATTGCAGAATGCTACAGTTGCGAAGAAATTGATGGTAGACTTTTTTTGGAAATGAAGATTTACCAACACCATTTAGGTAAATATCCCATTACAGAAACCATGATTTACCGTGTACTCATTCAGATCAGCCAGGCGTTAATGTATTTATATGAAGAGTGTGGTCAAGTTCTCCATAGGGATGTAAAAGTGCATAACATTTTGGTTGAAAACTTCAAGCAAGATGAATTCAAAGTAGTTTTGGCAGATTTAGGACTTGCTCGTGGAGAATTAACAATTACTGAAGGCAGATGTGCCATTGGGACAGAAGGCTATAAAACTCCATGGCACGAAGACCCATCTCCCAAAACAGATATCTATGCTCTTGGTCGAACTATTGTAAAAGTTATTGAAGGTACACGATACGTTATGAAGGACAAAATTCTTTTTTCAGATCAGTTGCAGCAATTTGTTACTACTGGATTGTGTAATAGAATTAAATCAAACAGACCAGACTATAAGACGATTCAGGAGCGGGCTCAATCAATGCTGAGTGAATACTTAAACAAGCCTCACATGCTGACCTATAATTACGACGATGGTTATTTGAACGAGTATTTCGAAAATCTTAAAAACAAGTATTCCAATAAGAAAGATTCCCAAAAACCATTCAGTTATTCATTATAAGTCATAACATTGTGAAAGAACTATATGATGAACAGTTTATGTTTTGAGTTCATATCATGTATTTCGACAATATCATCTTGTTCTATTTGAAATTGAACAACTCATTTGTAAACTTGGAAATTGAATAAACGTTCAAGTCATCCAATGACGCAATTTTGCCTTCATTTCCACTGTTAACAAGAAAATAACAAACAATCTGTCATGACTCAGCACTCCCCTTCATCATCAACCACTACTAACACCATCACGAAGCACAAAGAACCATCTTTCCAAGCACCCACAAGGAATGCCATCATTAAAACTGTGACTGGCAAATTTCCAATCACCATTTCCGATTCCACCTCGATCATGGAAATTAAACGAGCATGGGCTCAACATCAAGGAAATTCATTGGATGATGAGACATTAAATTGCATGCTGAGAGTGGTGTTCAATCATCGAGTGTGGGAAGGAGATTATCATGTGAGTGATTTGCTGTTGAATTACTCTCCTCCTGATGATCAGAAGGAATTGGAATTTCATGTAGTCGTTTCTTTGAGAGGAGGATAGTTTGAAGACATGCATCCAACGGAGGACATCTAAGAACGTTTGAAGGATGAGGAAAACAAACATAAGCTTTTCTTGAATTTAACATAAACGTCATGTTAATATTTAAAATACTATACTTCTCAACAAGCAAGCGAACCAATCATTTGCCCTTCATTGAATTCATGTACATTACACCAGGACTGACTCATCAAAATGAAGAACAAAGAAAGAAAGAAAGGTACGATAAAGAGATGGCACAGGCAAGTGCAAGAGTAGTTGTTGTTTTTAGAGTTTAATTATGGTGGACAGACTATTACTTGCGACGAAATATTATCGTTTCTGTGGAGTCTTTACTAGTTAAAAAGAATTTTCATCTTTGAGTTTTTGAATCAATTGTTGCAAAGAAACAACCCATTCATCTCGATCTTCCTTGGATGGAGCCGACATGTAATAAATCTTTCCCGGTATTTCCACTTTGAATACAAATCTTCTCTTATTACTCGATTTTTCTGGAGCAATTTCTGAAAGAGCCACTCGTAAATCAATAACACCTAAAGGTTTCGAGAGATCTTTGGCATCATGGAAATAATACAAGTGATGTCCATCAATTTTGAAAAATCTCTTTTTGAAAATGTTAATTTTGGGTCCCTTCTTGTAAAGATTTCCATTCTTGTCGAATTTGGGTTTTACATTTTCGGAAATGGTGCCTTCAGTCAGTTGTGGATTATAGTCTGAAGCGGCAGAATTTGTGGGCTCAGCAGCGTCATATTCCTCGTCATCTTCATCGACCACATGTTTGACATCTTCCATGGAATCCAATGAAGAGGTTGAAAGTGCTGGACTCTTTGCTGGACTCTTGGATGGACTCTTCAACTGCTGTTGTTGTTGTGTACGATTTGATTCCAATTCAGAACGAACTTGTTGCATTGTATTCTTGTTAATTCTTACTGAAATTCTTTTTGAATTCATATTTTGCTGTTTTGGTATTTTGTCTTTTTTCTCTGAATTTTCATTCACTGTTTTAGGAGGTGTGACCACTGCAGTTTCATTATTGGTACTATTCAAGGTATCATTGGATTGAGTAGGTGAAATGGATTGAGATCTCATCAATGCAGAGCCAGTGTTAAATAAAATTCCTTGTTTCTTCAATTCACGTTCTAACATTTCAATTTTTTCTTTCGCTTGAACGAGTTCATTTCGTAAAATTCCATTATTACTTTCATGCACTTGTTGTAACACCATGACACTCTTTTTACGATTGGCATTTTCAGTCTTGATGGTTTGTTCGAGATCCTTCTTTTCCTTTTCGAGTTTTCTAGTTTCATTTCGAAGTTTTTGTTCATTTTCTTTGAGTGTGTTAATTTCCATATGAAGTTGGTCAATTTCTTCTTTGAGTGAATTTTCTTTGGATACAAATTTTTGTCGTAATTCTTCCATTTCATTTTCGAGATGAGTAATTTTTTGTTTAAATGTTTTTTCACCTTCTTGCCATTTCATTCTTGCAATTTCCATTTCTGTTGACTTCTTTCGAGCTGCACTGAGTTTGTTGGTGAGGTCAGTAACTTTTTCTTTCAATTTTTGCATGTTCAACTTTTCTTGTGGATTCAATGAAAGATCATCTTCTTCTGCATTGGATGAAGCTTGTTGTGAATCTGTAGCAGTGGTTGATTTGATGACTGTTTGTTCTATGGAAGGTGAGCCACTACTAAATTGTGACACCAATTGTTGAAATTCTGAAATTTTCACTTCGAGTGTTTTCATTGAAGTTTCAGAGGTCTTTTCACGTGCTTTCAAATTTTCTCTTTTAGCAGCATTGAGTTGTTCCAATAAGAGCTTGTTTTTGGATTTTAACTTTTCAATGAGTTGATGAGAAGGATCGTCCGCTTCGAGAGCTTTTTTCTCTGCTTCGACTAATTCTTCTTCGAGTTCAATGTTCTTCTTTTCAACTTGATCTAATTTGGAAGAGAGTTCTGCATTGATGGATTTCAATTCTTCGAATTGAGCTTTCAAGTGTGAAATAGTTTCCTGTTCGATTTCTTCTGATTTTTTATCGAGAGGAGTGGATACCGATGGTTTGGCTTTTTTAGAACTTTCTTTCAATTCTTGAACTTCCTTTTGAAGTTTTTGAATTTGTGACTTGTAATCTTCTTCAATGTTTTTGCCAAGTTGATTATTCTTTTCAAATTCTGCTAATTTTTCAGCAAGTTCATCCCTGTTCGATTCTTCATTGATCAACTTCTCCTTCAACTGTTGCAATTCTTCTTGAGATTCCTTAAATTGTTTTTCAAATCGATCTCTTTCTTTTTGAGCTTGCTCTAACAATGATTGACTTTCTTTCAATTGCTTTTTGGTTTCCTTGGATTGTGTCTCGTGTTTGAGAATCTTTCTTTCGAGTTGTGCCGTTTTCTCTTCTTCATGTTCTAACTGTTCTTTCAGAGATGAAATTTTACTTTCTAATGAAGGAACCAAGAGTAATTCCTCATTCATTAATTTTTGATAATCGTCAGACGTTTTCACATCCACAACGCTCACGGAAGGAGTGATGACAACTTGTGGTTGAGGAATTTCTTTAATCTTCTCACTACTAGTTTGAGAAGATGCCTTGATTGTACCAGTATTTGAAGTTTCTAATGATTGGTTCAATTCTTTGGGTGTTGCTTCTTTCAGAGTGGATGGTTGAGGATGAGACTCTTCTTTTGGAGCCGTTTCTTGAACAGAAGGAATTTTTTCATCTTCTACCACCACTGTTTGAGGTTTTTCTTGAATTGTTGAGGATGATAGTGGTTGTTCTTCAATGACTGGCTGAGTTTTTGGAATTTCTTGAATTTCTGGTTGTGAAATGGTTTGTTGAGCTTGTTGTTGTGGTACCAGTTCTTGTTGTGAAATTTCCTCTTCCGTCAACAATTCTTGTTCCTGAATATAATTCACAGTGACATCACTCGAAAGTTCATTAATCTTGGAAGCCAATTGCAAGAATGGAATAGTTTGTTCTTCCACAACATTGGTCATGGGTGACAAGGTCACAAATGCAAAACTCGCCGTGTTCACAAAAACTCTGGAAAAGAGTAAACATTTGAGAGTAGTTGAGAAGTAATCGTATTCATCCGATTCGGAATAGAGAGCTTCAGCAACATCTTGGAATACTTTACAACCGTTTTGACGAATGGTACGATGTGGATCGGAAGGTCTTTCTGCATCTAAATCAATGACAGTAAATCGACTTTCTTTGGTTAAATTAGTTTGAGTGTCGTGTTGTACAAATTTAATTTCAAAGAAGGCCGAACTATGTTCTGTGTGAAGTGTGTGAACGATTAGAAGGTGTATTTATCCAATTCAATAATCAACGTGAAATATATTGAAGACAAGGACCATGTGTTAAATTTGAATAAATTTACAAGTCACTTACTTTTGGATCGTTTCGCCAAAGCACCTGCCACGGATTCAAACAATTCAACGTCACTTGTCACAAACACTTCCGTCAGTCCAACAATTTCCACAACATTGGTTTCCTCCTCCACCAACACGTCCAACTTGCTTTCAACATTTGAATTTTTCAACAAATCATTCATCAAAGCATCCATTCCATTTTCCATTCCACAAATTTCAAAAGCATTCAACGACACTGAAAATTCAATATTCTCAGGCGACTCATTCATAATATAATTAAAAATTGATCGAATAAATCGAGGAACAATTCCATCAAACTTTTGAGGCTCACTCTCGGAGGCCCAATTCGAAGCTTTGGTTGTATTTCCGAAAAGTGTGAAAGTTTTACCTGTTTGATAAGCACCAAACGAAAACAAGGTACAATGTTGACCCTTCAACACTCGTTGCATCATTTCATGGCCACACGTTGCAAAGACATCTTCCTGAGTGTTGGTCGTTTTTAAAATTCTTTCAAATGTGAATTCGACACTATTGGAAACTCCGTGCTAATGTATTTGAGAAATGGGTATAAAGGAGAGAAGAGCGGGCATGTTGATGGGGTTGTGTCGATGGTGCAGAGATGATTACGGTCGTGTTGATGATGGTGTTGAGTCAATTGCCAAAAATGGTTGATGTCAAAGATTTTTAATGAAAATCAAAACAATATTGTAATTGAATCCAGTCGAATGTTGACGATGATGACGACCATGATGAGAATGGTGATTCCAAACAAAATCGAAGGAAAATAACAACTTACTTTGATCAAAATGTTTTTTCCGTTCTATTGAAAATGATGTGAGATATTGTTGAAAAATGTAACACGAGTCACATACTTTGTGAAAAGCTGCACAACACTTTGGTTTTTCACTGCCACAGCTTTCGACTTCTGACTTGAGGAAGGGTCGAAACCTAACACCCACACGCATGGGACTCTCTTCCTTTTGAGCTGGTGGAATGACCTGTGATGACATTTTTTTTGAGAATGACGGCTGACAGTGTAAAGCGCAAATTTGGCGAACGGTGGCTTTTTTGATGTTGCGGAAGACTTTGTTCTATGATTAAAGAACCATCTAATCCTGGACCAAATTCATTGTATACCCCAGCTGGTGAATGTTGAACGGTCTTCAATTACTGAGTATTGTGAGCAAATCTTTCGTCATCAGAATGTAAGCTGTGCCTTCTCATTCATGAGATGAATAATGTGTCTCAAATCTCACGCAGTCGTGCACTCTTTCCCGATAAGAAACTGCTCATTATGCTGAAATTCAAGAATATCGAATTGTTCTTTTCAAAACATGTTGTGTTAACACTGTAAATATTTATGCTCCATATTTTGGACTCTTTCGTAACTTATAAGCTACTTCAGCTAGTATAAAATCAACAAGTATGGATGAATTTCCAGCATTTTCCAAGCATGATTTTTCTGTGAGATGTTCATTGTTGTCTCTTCTGGTTTCTTCTTCACAATATTGGACGCAAATCATCGATGGCTCATCAAAAACGAGGTGTGAAATATTTTGTCCATTCTTTTGTTGATAACTTTGTAATGGTTTGAAAAGAGATTTTGTATGCTGCGAGGTCATGGTCTCATTAAATGGGCAGCTAAAAAGTAGCACATGATAGACCTTCAAGGCAGGTGTTGTTTGTTGCATCTGTGAAAATTTTTCTGTAATTTTCTTGATCAATTGATCCGCATGTTCGATTCTTAGCACTTTTTGAGATGTTTCCAATTTCGATACATTATCATGCAATAACAAAATGTCATTTTCTAACATGGCTGAAGCAGCATTCTCCACTAATGCGTCCTCTTGATCGCTGCTGAATAGATCGCTAACTAATTTCACCTTGTCCTTTCTGTTACAAAAAATTTGTAAAACACTTGCGTTGGTGGTCCATGTTTGAACTTTCAATTTCTTGTATTTACAAAATAAACTTTGTTTTTCTAATCGGAGTTCGTTGTGTTTTTTCCAAGACTCCTCTTCCTCATCATCTTCGGGCTGTATAGGATCATAATAATCAAACAATTGCATCATGTAAGCTGTGTCTGTATTCATCAAACTATTGTTGAAATCGGAATGGGTTAATTTCCGAGTATGAATGAGTGTTGTGCCACCCAATCTACAAATACGATCCATTTCCTCATGTTTGGATTGTTCCAGCAAGAAACTTTCTGAAGACGATGAATTATGATTATTCATCAGCACTCCTTCCAGAAACACAAAAAGACACTTTGATGTTTGGGCCATTTTTATTTGATGGTTCTCTATGGATCGTGCGTGTTCTTGCAAGTCTCATATTCTCCAGGGAGGGTGAGCCAGATAGAAAAAGCTTCGTAGGCAACCAGCCTATACCCAACCATTCTTGGCGACGTTGACGAACTCAAGTGTCATCACGAAAATAAACATCTCCAACCAAAAAAAATGCCTACAGCAAACAAAACGTTCTGGCAGAAGCTGAGTGATCAACACAACCACAATGCTCCCGATATTCGTTCAACTGCTTCAATAATGCCGTCAGTAAAGAAAAGAGTTTATTTTGAAGATCAACCGTTCATGGTTGAAAATATTACACCAGCTACTAATGTTAGTTATGAAGAGTGCTATTCCGAACTGAAATACGTTTGCAGAGGTATAAATCGGAACAATTATTCTAAATTATTAACAGGAAAACAAATTTATAATTGCGATTATGACATAATTGGCGTTATTCGAGACGAACTCACCTTAGAATCAGCATGTTGTTCAAAATATTGTAGTATTTTTCAAAATCAGTGTCGTCAATGTAGTGAATTGGAAAAACACCTAGTTTCAATCATGGAAAATAGGCATGATATATTTGAAATGCTATTGAAAGGAATTTTACCACAACCCAAGCAATTAATATCATTTCCATTATTGATGTATGAGTTATTGTGTAAACTTGTGCCATTTATACCAGTCAGCCAAGATGAACACAAACTTTTAACAGTGTTTAGAAAAGCTCAAACTTCATACAATGAAGCATTGTCGACACAATACAACAACAAACAAATTACGAACAATGAACACCGTGATACACAAGCTTTGAAGGTTCCAAGGTCAAGCTTTACTCCATTCTTAGAGACATTTTTTGGATCCTTTATATTCAATCAGTTGCAAAATTATGCAAAGAATCCATTTCATCACAAATATTCAGAGGTTGAAAGAAGATATTGGGTTGTGATGAAATATTATTGTGGAAAACAATTTTTCATCAGAATGGGAGGAGAGCGCAATCAAAATATTGAACGGAATAATTTTAATCATTTAAAATATAATCTAATTATACCAAGTTGGAATACTGTTAAACAATGGACACCTGCTGGTTGTTATGGTATGATTCCCGACATCACACTTACCCTAAAGAACATGTTACTGCCTGACTCTTGTAAAGATACATGTATCTCGTTTGATGGAATGAAAGTGTTTAAACATTTTGATGTTTTGGGAGATCAAATTGTTGGAAGTGAAAAATATTGTTACACTGTTGAAGACGTGAAACAATTTGGTGTTAAACATCTAATAGACCAAATGATTTTATTTTCTATTAATGCCATCGATAATTCATGGCATTTACCGCTGGGTTGGTTTGGAGTTAGTTCTGAAACAGACGTACTTGAATTTGTCACTAGCAAAATACTTTATTTCAAAGAGTTGCTCCAAGAATCTGTAACAATTGTGTGTGGATGTTCTGATGCAGAAATTGATGCACATGCTGTGCAAACAATTGTTAGAAAAAAACACAAAGACTTCATTTTCGTCAATGATTACGTTCACAATTTCAAAAATCAACGAAATGTATTATTTAATGGAACAATATTGCACGAGAAAATCTCAATGCAGACCATAATTTATTACATGATACAACATAGGACATTGTATCGATTACTCGACAGAGAAGAAGTTGATCCTACGGATATTATGAATTTGAAATCATGTCTAAATTTAACAGAACGACCTGTATTGCAAGAATTACGTAAAATTGGCACTATAGAGGCAAATAGTGTTGCTGGTTACCTTGAATTAATTCGTGATATTTATGACTGCATTAATGATAACAGTCCGGATATAATTGATATTTTGAGTGAAAGCAAAACAATTTTCGAAAAATTACCCAATTATCCCAAAAAAACGAAGAAAATATGTGTTCACACACTTGAAGGATTTCTTGCATTAGCGTCTCGGTTTCCAAATTTCAAACCCAGTTGCATTACAACAAATTATGAAGAGCTACTCTTTTCAATAATTCGAGGAATGTTTCCCAAGCCAACAACCAAACAATTTTGCCAAAGCGCACTATTTTCATTCTATATATTTTTAATATTACATTCCACTGACGATGTTCGTGGGTTCTCACTCCCAGATATTCCATTAACTGATCATTATTTTGGTATGAAATTGGTTATCAAGATTTTACCAACTCTTCCTGGTCGAATTGTACTTGATAGAAATGTCAAGAAAAAAACTTGCAAAGAATTACAAATTATTAATCAAAACGTAGCCACTTACTCAAGAAAAACTACGTTGAGGGCTGAAGTGTGTGCTCCTAAATGTATATATTTATGCTGCCCTGTTTCTGGATGTAAAAAACAAAAACCATATATTATCAAAGGGTCTTTTACAAATCATTTGAAAGCTAAACATCAATTTTCAGACGAAGAAGCAGAAGCAACAGTTGCTCAATTAGAATGTTTGCAATTTTCTGCTCAATTAGAAAAAGATGTTGCTTTTAGGAAACAAAGTTGCAAAAACAATGAGAATATTATTGTACAACACAAACCACCTTACCTGATTTCAAAATTCAAAAACAGGTTGACTATTCAATATAATTTTGCACCTCTTAAATCAATTCCCACGCCTCACTGTATCAATCAAGAGACAAGACGACCATTGAACTTCTTTGTGCTAGATTTAGAAACAACAGGATTTTCTCCAAAATGCAACTCCATAATTCAATTTGCAATGTTATCATTATTTAGTAATGAATTACATTCCATATTTGTATCCCCTAGTGGTGTGTGGAGTTCTATTGCATTACAAATGCACGAAACTAAATTTCAGATTTTGGATGAAAGTGAAACATTGCAAAACATGATTCCTAAAATTTGTAATTATTTGACTAGGAATGACACTGCTGATGTGATGTTGTTGGTTCATTCAACTGGTTTGGACAAGGCTTTCTTTAGTGCTGCAATTGCACCACTTAAACTCCGATCAACAATTTACTATTGTTCTACTATGCAAAAAAACTTGCTTGGAAAAAAGGGATTAGAAAACCACTTTAGAGAAAAAGTATGTGACTCTCTTCCCGGAATAGCACATAATGCCGTTGTGGATGTGCTTATGTTGTATGATTTGCTGTTGTCGAAGTTTGGGAACGATCAAGAAATTGTGAAGGCCATCGGAAAAGCAGAATGTACAACAATAGACGACTAGGAATTCCACTGATGGTTTGTTCAGTTCGATGAATTGTTTTCTCTGTTTCCTACTCTGGTTTGCGTGTTGTTTTGTTGAAGTGAAGAAACTTGCTGATGTGGTTGTGTTGATCACTCAGCTTCTGCCAGAACGTTTTGTTTGCTGTAGGCATTTTTTTTGGTTGGAGATGTTTATTTTCGTGATGACACTTGAGTTCGTCAACGTCGCCAAGAATGGTTGGGTATAGGCTGGTTGCCTACGCTTTGGCTCACCCTCCCTGATATTCTCTAGGGGCCTCCAGAAAGGCTTTTGTTCGGATTTCAATTCTTTGATAGCTAGCTTCAGAGGTTTTACAGGTGCAAAAGTTGAGAGTGTCATTTGGAAGATTGAAAAGATTCACTCCTTCATCACCAAATCAAATTTTGAAATTAATCCTTGAACGGTTGCTGTGTTGTTGGCAATTGTCTTTAGGAGTTGTTTCTTTTCCTCAATGTCCTTTTCTCGTTTGGTGGCTGCTTCTGGTGTACATTCTTGAAGAGATCCAAACATGGCATTCAAATCGAATTTATCAAAGACAGAGGTCAAAGTGTAGAAATGTTTTTGTATTTTGGATAATTCGGAGAGGGCTTCCTCTTTTGAGAAGGGTTCATCTAGAGAGTTTTCTCTGGTGGTGAGTATAAGAAGTAGTCAATTATAGTGATGATGGAAATTTGAATTTTGAAATAATATTGAATACATCAAATGATGATGATTATATTTCATTTCTGATTCATCCAATTCAACCTACACTTTATCAAAATACTTTTCAAACATTTTCTCAAACATGTCTAGATTTTGGCTCAAGCCTTCCAACACTCGTTTCGGATGATGTGAAGTCATGATGATGAAATAAATTTTTAATTAAAAATGCTTCCCCTCACAGAACAACACACCAGAACCCCACAAAAGAGGTTCAATTTGGCTGAGAATTATGCTCTTCTAAACACAAATAATCACTCTTCAGATGAATATATTCCGATAGATGAAATGAAACCTCATCAAGATATTATGCAAATGTTTCGAGATGCCAAACAAAATAATACTTATTTGAAAGTACAAGCTCCGATGGTTCGCTATTCAAAATTAGCGTTTCGATTATTGTGTTTGGAGTATAATTGTGACGTCGTGTATACACCAATGATGATGGCCGATAGTTTCAGTAAATCACAAAAGGCCAGAGACTCAGATTTTGCAACACACGTTCACGATAAACCTCTCGTGGTACAATTTGCAGGTATGATTTGTTGTTGTTTTAAATTTGACAAACTTTTTCATCAATTTATTTGACATTGATGAAATATTATTTTCAAATTATTGTTAACTATTGAATGTGTAAATTACCATCATTTAATATTATATCTCGCTCTTTCACCACTACAGCCAATAATCCAACAGATTTTAGTTTGGCTTGTCAATATATTGCACCTTTTTGTGATGGAATTGATATCAACTGTGGCTGTCCTCAACCCTATGTCATGAAAGAAAATTTAGGTGCAGCCTTAGTGACACAACCACAAAAGATTTTTGACATGGTCCATGAAGCGAACAACAAGTTTATATCTGGAACTTTTCGACCAATTGGTGTGAAAATTCGAATTCATCCAGACGATGATTCCTTAGAGTTTAGAAAAACTATTGATTTAGCAAGACAAATTGAAAAAGCTGGTGCTAGTTGGGTCACTGTTCACGGTCGAACTCACAAACAACGAACAAAAAACACAAAGGTCAATCCAGATGGTCCAAAAATTGTGAAACAAGCGCTACAGATCCCTGTCATGCATAATGGAGACGTTTTTTCATTGAAAGACGCAAATGATTTAGCTTCATATACTGGCTGTGATGGAATCATGAGCGCACGAGGTCTGTTAAGCAATCCTGCACTTTTTGCTGGATTCAACCAAGTTCCTTTCGAATGCATTGAGCGATACCTTCAAATTTCAATTCAAGTCGGAGGTATTCCTTTCCAGTTGCTTCACCACCACGTAATGTTTATGCTGTACTCGCATCACCAATTTCTATCCAATGATATTATTGAGTTTAGTAATTGCACCAGTGTCGCCTCAATTTTAGACTTCTTTGAGGATAGAGGTCTTTCCATTTCACTGTAAAGCGGCATTGATTAATTAACATCAACTCGAATGGCGGTAAAGTATGCGTGACCCTCGGATATTGATAGTAATAGGTGTCGTAGTTTTCCACTTCACGAATCTCTCTGAGATTGTTGCACCCAGTTTTGTGAACTTGGTTTTTCTCCAATTTGGTTCCAGCGCTTTGGCTCAGGTCGAGTTTGGGTTCTAAAATTCTTTTGGAAGGTTTAGCAAAAAAATTCGGGCGAAGCGCATTTTGGCTCTCTGCAAACAAATGCGACTGCAAACCATGTCGTTAGTATGCAAGAAAAAAAATGTCTGCCTCTTCATCACCCTCATTTCACGGCACACCTACTTCTCCCATAGGCATGATCACGTTGGCAGGTGACAAGAATGGCAATTATAACGGTGCGACAAATGTTGCCAGTACGTCAACAATTCCACACCCCGAAAGGGCTAGCTATAAGCTCAAGCATAGTAGCAGTAGTAGTAATGGTAGCAACAAGTCATTGAGAAAGCACTCTTCATTTCCACCTCTTACCAAGCAAGAATTTAACTTTCATCAACTCAATGCAGAGCATCATGTACAGAATGATATTTTACCGAAAAAGCATCGTATAACCTTGATTTTTGTGAGAATTCTAGGCATTTTGACGCTAGGCATTCTCGATGTGGCTCTCAAGAACTGGGAAATATCGCTTATTGTGGATAGTTTAAGAATTGGAAATCGAAAAATTGTATATAATTCGACAGATGGTCATCGAGTGAAAATAACATACATGTGGAATCTTCTACTCTCAATATTAACATGTGGAATTTGGTATTTCATGGGGGTCATGCATACACACTTCTATAGCGTGATTGACATGAGACTATCATGGGGAGAGGTTGATAGACCTCGAAAAATACTTCTCAAGCATTCAAAAGCTGACATCTTTCCAGTTCCTCTCAATGAGTTTGTCGTGTGGCAACCCCATCCACATGACTACAAGGGAGAACTTCGAATTTTCAACATTCACATGGGCTTTAAGAACGAACTCATTTATTTCCTGTTAAAACTCCTTTCCATACTCACGCTGGGTATCACAAGTCCTTTCGCTGATTACTTTTGGATGTACCACTCTCTAGGAAAAATGTATCTAGGAAAAGGTAGATTTATGGTACTTCCTCCAACATTGGCACAACCATTACTCAAACAGAATACTAGTAGAAACAGCTGCAACAACACGTCTGTGCAAGATGAGTCATCACAAGAACCAACACCCATTTACAAATGTGACTACCCAGTTCTAGGTCAAGATGTCATTCGATCGAATAGTAATAGCGATCCAAGTGGAGCAACAAAAACTAGCAATGACTCGTATTTACCTCTCTATGAAATGAAATTGGGCTTTTCAGGTTCACTCGCCAAGCTCTTCTACAAGCACTGTGTGGTGAATTGCTTCACGTTGGCGACATGTGGAATTTCCTTCTTTTTCTGCTTGAATTCACATCTCTTGAATGGTTATTATAACAAAAAGTGTGCAGTGCAGTTGGTGAGTTTGAGCTGATCGAATGGTAACATATGACAAAGTTCGAGCATTGTTAGAAAATTGAAACATGAAGAACGGACAAGGTACGTCGAACATATGATGTGTGACGAAAAAGAATATTGTGCGTCATGCTTGCTCGAGCTCTTTAAATAAAAGGTTACTAGAAATGAGAAACAAATTGTATGATTATTCAACAACAGTGTTGTTCATGGGCAACAATTATGAATTCATTAAGACATACGATTATCTTCATTTTGTTGGATAGAAAAAGCTGCCCAGAACAGACATTTGAATATCTATGAACAAGGTCTAGTACCATGAGGTATGAAACATTTGAGAATGGCATGAGCAAGCAGCACTGCAAGGAAACAAGAATGCAAGACAAAGACTTGCTCAATTGCTTCAACAGCAATTTTCGAATTAGTGTGAATATGAAAGCTTGAGGATAAAGTTTCCGCTCAGTTTCATAATTCAAGTCGTCGCTCTTTGCACACCACGTCACACAAAAAAAATGGACGCATCGCTGATTCACAACGACAAATATTTTTCATATTGGCTAACGTTTGTGGCTCTCTTCCGAGGCTTTTCTATTGTAACGGGATACATCCGACCACAAATTATTACCAAGAATGTGTATTCTAAAAAGAAGGAACCACTGGATCCGTTATTTGGAAGAATGTTTGCAAATTGGACCGGAGGAAGTATTTGTGCTTGTTTAATCTTGGCTTTATATCCACAATCACTTCCAATGCATTACATGAATTTATGTGCATTTGCTATTGCTTTAGGACATGCCTTGTTGGAATTTGGATATTTCAAAACCATGTCCTTCGTGAATGCTAGTCCAATGTTCTTCTTTGCAGGTTCATCTTTGGCTTGGGTGATGAGTAGAATTATGTCTGGAAAGTTGATGTAAACGTGATGAATCATTCAGCGCAAGAATTAAAATTTAACACATCATTACTTGCATTATTTGGAAGTAAAATGATATTTATTATTAATTAGATTTTATTTAAAAATGTATCGTGCATCCAAGATTGCCTCATATGTTTAGAGAGAATTTAGGAAATTAATCCAAGCAAGCGGCCATTTTGATCGTGCAGATATTAAGACCCTTAATTTTCGTTATGATGAGTGTTAAATTCTCTTCTGACAAATGTCAAATTCTTACAATTTCTGTGGCGAGGCCAGTAAGTTTTTCTTTACAGCAACTCTCTTCCGCCACCACAAGAATGCATAGGCAGGAACACTACCGAAAGCCACACTTGCCACATACGCGACAGCGATGGCTACAAACATGTTCATGTATAGCAATGCTACACATGCAGAAATGGCAAACACTGGAATACTTGTGGAGCCTAACATCATGGCAGAGGCAGCACGAACACTTGCTTGCTCTCCCTATGGAATTGTTTTTCAACCATTTCATTTGTCGTTTCATTTTGGGTAAAATATAAATTATGAACCATGATGTATGTTCTTGCTTACCTGAGTGAGCCATAGTGTCACCATGGCAGTCAGAAAAATAGCAGGGAATGCTGTAAGTAGCCCAGAAATAATGGTTAATTTCAATCCACTCAAGATAACAGAAATTGCAATAATGATAAATGCAAAAATTCCTCTTGATAAAATCATCCACCATGCTGCTTTTTTGGGTGGTATGGGGTTTTTTGGAATGGTGATGGTCCAATTGAATGGAATGCTAATGATCAACAAGAGAACATAAAAAGAGCAACCCAATCCAATCAATACTTCATCAGACAATGTCACCGTTCGAGTAATGATAACAAAAACACTTGCAAGAACGAACCAAACCAACAGTGACAGAAATATCACAAGACACATTTTCAAAATAACATATCTCCTACTGTGGGGTTGTATCTGTACTTCTGCTTGTACTACTGTTTCTGAAGCTTCTGCCACACCATTGGCTACATCATGGTGTGAATTATCTTGGCTCATTCCTGAACTATGAATCACTTCTGAGGGTTGCAATAAATTTTCTTTCGTTGACTCGCGTGATAAATCTTCTTCGACTTCTTTCATCTCCGAGGGCGAGGGTACTGGTAATTCATCATTGTCGACTACCGTTGATTCGAAACTAGTTTCATCTTGAACAGACAATTCATGAGTTGTTTCAAGTGACTCTTTTGTGGGAGTTTCTTTCATTTTCTCAATTGATTCTATTGATTCTGTTGTTATTTTCTTATCTTTCCAAAGTAGTGATTTAAGCTTTTCAAACATGTCAGGAAATACCTTCCACACAAGTAAGAACAAGCCGTTGCAAAAAAGAGCCCAAGGTATGACAAAAAATTGCTGAACCAATACATGCTTTTTCTCTTCCCACTCCAAATTTCGCTTATTTGCCTCAATAACAAACCCAATAGCAGCAGGTACAATGGTGGTTGGCAATGTTCCAATCACTCCACCGATTTGAGGTCCAAATTTTTCGATAATCACCGTCACAAGAATTGCAATAACTCCCGCAAATAATCCGCTCATGAATGAATTGAAATAGAGAGATTGAACAATGGGCCAGACCCATTCATCTAAAAAGGAATCTCTTGTTCCATTCACAATAGGAGATGAATTGTTATTTTCCAAAGTTGAAAAGGGAATGAAATCATTCCATGCTGTCTCGTAACGATCAGCCACAGATATCTGACAATTGGAATTTAGGGTTGACGATGGAGAGTTCGTTTGCAATCCATCAGCATGATGTTTTGTTGCCAATGATGACGCCACAAATTCAATTTTTCCAAAAATTGCAATGATCATCAACGAAGCCAAAATTGCAATAGTTGAAATTCTGTTCGTGCAACGAAACGACGCCGGTATCATCTTTGCACTGTGAGAGGTTGTTGTTCAATTTGTTTAACAATACTTGGTGTTGAAATGGAGTTGCTGCAACGGAAAAGAATCATGCTCCGGTGTGCGTGATGAAGGTGCTCACAAATTTTTCCAACTTTCTAAATTTCCTTCTAAATGATTGAGAGTCCAATGATTATTAATAAATTTGAATTTGTACTTCAGGTAAATACCACAACACCTCTCTCGGAAAATGATGGAATTCAACCGTTTTCATCACGGACACGTGTAACCTTCTCCGAGAGGATCAAGTTTTTTAGAATTGAACTCTCAATTCTCATTCAGACGGAATCTGTCTTCTGTTTTGCCAAGCCTTACTGAACATTATTATTTTTTTTACATTGTGATGATGCAAACTTTGTAATCTTACATCAACGTCATTGCATTTGCTTAGAATACGGATGCATCCTTCTCTTCGCGCTTTTTCATTTAAAAATGCAACGAGAAGAGAGGACATACCTTTTAGCACCTTACACCTTACACTTTAGTGCCGTTTGCAATGGCACGTAGTCCCAAAAAGGAGATACAAATAGCACTTAACACTGGAGTGCCAAATGCAAACAGCACCTGACACTTGAGTGCCGAGTGTCATCAGCACCTGTATATTTTTTAATTTATTTAAATATTATTTTGAAATTACAAACCTCCGTCTTCACGGTTGTGAGCAACGGGCCTCAAAATTCTCTTCACTACACAATCATCATCGAGTATCACGAACGCAATTTTTGGACAATTCGTCTGACAACGACAATACCAAATGATCATCTACGAAATTTAGTTTATGGAGGGAAGAATAGACTCACGCTCATTTTCTAAGGTGAAGCGTTGTGAGGCAGTGGTTCAAATAATCGAGTTGTTATATTTTGGCACCTTACACCTTACACTTAGTGTCAGTGCTGTTTTCATTTGACACTTGAGTGCCAAATGAATGAAGTGTGATTTGTATTTGACACTTGAGTGTAAGGTGCTATTTGTATTTGACACTTGAGTGTAAGGTGCGAAATGGATGTTGATTGAAATGGAGGTACTAGTTTGTGAACCTAACCATTCTACTTCGTGTTCATATAAAAAGGTCAATAACGAATCTATCAAACAAAAAAAAAGGCATGATTTAATCTCATGCATCTACTTTCCTTACGTATGTTAGCTTGGACCTTCGTATGAAAGGAGTTAGGAGGCACAAAAGATCACGAGAAGACACGTTACTCTCAGAAACAAATGAAAATGAAACGAACCTAATGTTAATTGATTTTTTAACCCATGGTCAACTACTAGCAAATAATTCCTTGTTTATTAAACTCAAGAACAAGATGGAAGCAGGAACTCGATGGTTATCACGAGGTTTTTCTACAAATTTTGATTGGGTTCATTCAATCGGGACAACAGTAGAATCATCACAGAACGATTTTCAAAACAATTTCGAAACGCATGCGTATCTAGAATTTCCGTATGATGTCAAAATCAGTTACAATCACCAATGTATTTTAATCACTGACTTTCTCACTCATCAATTGCTCGTATGTGATTTAATGAATTACTCTCCTAAAGCATACATCGACGCTCCGAGCGATTTTCCTACTCGAATGTATATTGAAAAAAATTATGAAAAACAAAGAGATGCCTTATATTTGATGTGTAGAAATGGATCAATAGTTATGTTAATGAAATATGATTTAGAGCTCTTTTTGAAAGCAAAATCATTGAGGGATGATGAGGAAAGGAATTCAATTCATTCAAGCGGATTTATTTGGAAAACCACTAATTGCAGTATGCAAGCATTTGTTGTGAATACTGCACTTAAGAGAGTAATGGGCTGTGATTTTGGAGAGAGCTGTCTGAAAATTTTGAATTCAGAAAATGGTGAATTTCTTCACAAAATTCAATTTACAAATGTTCCTTTTGCAATCGATCTTGCAAAAGACGATATTGTAATTATTTAATTCTTTTCTGATGGTACAATTAGAGTATTCAAACATTATATTTTGGAGCAACATGTTTCATTGGAATTTATCAGACAATTTGGATCGAATGGAAAAGAAGTTGGAGAAGTTCTTTGTCCTACTTCTTTGGTATTTGACAAAACATCAAACCACGTAATTGTAGGAGATTCAAAGTTACATCGAATTCAAATATTTACGTTGGATGGTCACGTTGTAAAATCATTCGGTTCCAAGGGATCAGGTCGAGACCAATTTCACGACATCAAAAGTTTGTGTCTCAATGAAATATCTGGAGAGCTTCTTGTATGCAATTCATCTGGTTGTCAAGTACAAATTTACAAATAGGAAATTAGCGAATACATTCAAGCCAGCTGTCACAATTAATTTAACAACAAATAGTTGTAACACCACTCAGAGATTTCCAACTTTATCCTTGGTACAACAAGTTTGGCTGTGTGTGCTTCAGTAAGCCTTCCAAATTCCAAGGAAACGAGCAATCCATTTAATGATTTCTTCAATGTGTGTTACTACCTGCACTAGCGCTTTCTTGTTGGTTCGAAAAGTCCAAGCTCCTAATTTCTTTGGAAAAACCTAGCACCAATCACCAATCAACTAGTTCTCGTTTAAGAGGCTTCAAGTCAGGCACAGCTGTGAGATTCATCAAAAAAAAAACCAATCCAAAACATGAAAGTAGAGGTTATTCCCAACCTTTACATGTCATCGTTACTACTATCCATTGGCATGTGTGTCTTCATGCATGTCCTGTGGATGGCCAGCATGACCCATGCACAATCCTCGTGTCCTCACCTGGATTCAGGGCTTATCAAATTCTCAACTCTCCCCAATTACAATGTGCTGAATGCAGATTTGACTATTACTCAACGAACACTTGTGGACAAGTCTCCTGGTGTGAAATTGAGATCCATTCAGGTCTTGAGCGGTGCTTCCCTTGTATTCAATGATGTGGCTGATATCGCTCTTGATGTTGAATGGATTCGAGTGGCGTCTGGTGCTTCCTTCATTATGGGTTCTCCTTCATGTCCAATCCAACACAAAATTGTGGTCACGTTTTATGGTAACCGAACAGCAGACGACGTGATTGGAGTGGATCCATATGATAACACACCTGGTGGTAAGTTGTACTTGTTGTTTCATGCTTTTTAACAAATGTTATGAATGGTCACATCATTGCATGACCACATTCCTAAATTGGTCACACACGACATTAATACTGGCGGATGTCCAAACTTCATGTATTGTGGATACGATCACCAATGAAACAGGTTCTAAGGGAATTGTCTTTCAAAGTGGATCTATGGTTCAAATCCATGGACAAGTTCCAACACCTACATGGACATTCCTGGCAAAGACTGTCAAGGACGGAGAGAATGTGATCAAGTTAACCGAAAAGACCTCATGGAAAGTAGGAGACTCTCTCGTGATCGCCAATACAGATTATGGAGAGTTGGTAGAGACTAGAAAGGTGCCATACTCTGAAGGTTTAGGATGGATGAATGGTGTTCCTTTTCCTGCTCAAACTGAAGAGAGAACAGGTAAGTTTTTAAAGTCAACACATGTTTGATTCACCACTGGTTTAAACATCACTGACATTTGTTACGCGATGATCATTGTTGATCTGAACATGTACAGTGGTGAGCGTTCTGGATGGTGGTTCAACGCTCGTGTTAAACAAACCTCTGAATTACACTCATTGGGGTAATGCTCACATGAAAGCTGAAGTTGGAGTTTTGAATCGAAACATTGTGTTTCAGGGAGATGCCAACTCGGTGAAAGATTCATTTGGTGGTCACATGATGATTCGTGTCGTTGAAAAAGCAACCTTAGAAGGTATTGAAATGACACGAATGGGTCAAAGAGGTTTCATGGGAAGATATGCCATCCATTGGCACATCCTTGGCGATAAAGCTCCAGAAAATGATTCGTATTATATCAAGTCGTCCGTAGTTCATCATGGTTTCCAGAGATGTGTGGTCATTCATGACTCGAATAATATTTTGATTCAAGGAAATGTATGCTACAAGAATGTGGGACATCAATTCTTTTTAGAAGATGGTGGTGAAATGGGAAACAAATTCATCAAGTACGTATAATTGCTCATGTAATGATTTTTCTGACCTATTCCATGCATCATAATTGGTACCATTTTCTTTTTTCCATGAAATCATTCAATCATTGTTGAAAAAACGATCATAATATAGAAATTTGGGTATTGATCCGATTGCTGTTGGTAATAACGATCCAACTCAGATCCTCCCCTCTGACGCAGATGTGAGCGTGTTTTGGATTACTAATCCAAATAATACATGGATTGGAAATAGTGCCGTTGGTTCAAAGGTACGTTTTAGTTGTTATTTAGAAGATGATGTCATATTGAGATGAATAATAATTGATTAATTCTCTCATGTTATTCATCATCTCGGCAAAATAGTTCAATTATTGGTTTTCAATGCCATTAAAACCAACGGGATTGAGTTCCTCGAAATATGCCAATAATCCACTCATGACTCCAAGAACCATTCCTTTGAAAGTATTCGAAGATAACATTGCTCACAGCGGAAATCAAAATGGTAAGTCTTTTCATCAGCCAATTTTATCATTTTGTATTCATGTTGAATGCATATGATTGGTCCTAAAAGGTATTCATATCGATGATATGGTCATGCCAAATGGTAAGACTGAAGCAGCCTTGTATCGACCTGCAGATCCCTTTGGAAAGCCGGTCGTGGCTTATTTCAAACGTGTAATTTCGTATAAGAATCGAAGATATGGAATTTGGTCCGAAGGAGGTCCAGTGTTGTTTTCAAACATTATCGCTAGTGATAATAGAATTCAAATGGGATGTCCACCAGTAGGTATTTGTGTATATTACATCATTATTGGTTTTTATTCCATGTTACTTTTTTTGTTAAAATCTTTAGGGACCTGTTGGAATTTTCGATTCAACCTTAATTGGCGATTCAGAAAATGTTGGAGATTTGAAATCCATGCGTCCAGGACTTGATACAGATGGTAGAACACGATCCATTCCATATGCCATGGCAGATCAAATCACCAAAGGATTTGAGACCTATGATAATGGTGGTCCACAAGTTCTCGACTCGATTACTTTTATCAATTTTACTTCGACTCCAAGCATGCCAGCTGGTGCTTTGGGTGCTTTATCGAATGCTCCTTTCAAACATGAATCAAGGTACGTGAATTTTCTTTAACATGCAGAATTATATGAGTCTTTCATGCCACCTACGAACAGAAACCGTTATCAAAATTTAAAGTTCATCAATGCCAATGAATTTTTCTTACTGAATGGAGATTACGATGGTAATAAGGGTTCGGTCATTCTCGTGACTGATAATTCTATCAAATCTGTGGATCCTGTGAAATTCAAATCAGGTGGTTGGCTCATTAGTAATGATTCGGTTGTTGCTTTTAAAGAGTGTATTTTCAAACAGGAATGGCAAGGAGGAATGTGTCCTCTCTTTGCTGAAGGATACTCTCAAATTGTGACTGTGAATCCAAATATTACCGGAAGTGATACCACCGGTTCCAATGGTGTGCCTTATCCTGACGTTGCAGATCCATTGAAGAGAGTTCCTAGAATTCGATATATTGACATGGTGAGAAACAGAGAGACTGTTGGCAATGGTGCTTCGATCAGTCGCTCGAATGGAGTCATTGAGTTCATTATGGATGTAAATTTAATTAATAGAGGATTTTATACAGTGAGATGGGTCCATAATACACCAACTCCAAGAGCGCTCAAGTTTATTCATCAAGGAACAGCCCTCAATGACTGGCTGGTCATGTCCGTGCAATACGCAAAAGGAACAACTTTCACCATAACAAAATCAAGATTTGGTAACCCCACCACAATGCAAAAAGGAAATTCCATGGAAGAGATCATGAATGACCCAATGAAGTATTTCTTTGATGAAAAGTCAGAGCATTTATTCATCAAAATGCAAAATAGACCTGATTATGGAAAATATTATAGAGAAAATTGGAATTTCACAGGTATGTTTTGTGTTCATGATCCTTATAACTTTAGATCTAAATTGCAAAATTCGATCCAACCTCTATGAAAACAGATCCAATTTCTGATTTTTCACAAGTGACGATTGATGCCTCATGTCCCAATGATAAGTGTTCTCCATCCTCATTCGAGCTTCCACCAAATGCAAACCTCTTCCATAAGATGTACAACAAGGAAGAGCGTTATGCTGGAATTCTTCAAAGCTGTCAGCAATCATTAGTCTCTCCTGTGAAATTCGTACCAAAACAAGGAAGTGGTGTAGTCTTTGCCTTCACATCACCAGATCGATTACAAATGGATTTTGTCGTGCATCACGACTTGGTAGGAACTGCCACAGAAATTGAGGTTGGATTTGGAAATGAAGGTCAAGAAAAGCGCTTCCTTAAAGTCCCATACTACATCTCGCCTCATTCAGTGGCAAGATTCATTGTGGATTTGAGTTACAATGATTATGTAAGCTTGTTGAGAGGAGAAATGTTTGTTAAAGTGTCTTCTCTTGCAAATCCAAATGGCCATTTGAGAGCTCAGGTGTTGTGTAATAATGGAAAGACAAACGGATGTTCTCTTCCATCACCCATCGCTAAAGTAGATATGTGTGCTGCTGTATCGAGCCCAACCATTGATGTCTATACAGATTTTGAGAAAACTAAATCCCTTTGGACCTATTCTGTCTTTAGCCATGCTCTAGATTCGAGAACTGCGTATTTGAATTCTTCTCATGTCCATGCAGATGGTTGTGGAACTTCATCCTTACGAGTTGGATTCCAAAACGGTGCTGTTGCTATGAATCGTGTGGATAAGAATGCAGCACGAGTGGATTTAACACAGTACAAGTATTTGGAATTTTATGTTAAATCATTGACAGGGGCTGTCAAATTAGTGCTTTATCCATCAGAGACAGTGAACAATGCCGTTGTCGATTTACCCTCGTATCCAATTCAGCCAAGGC